CAAGGAGAAGCACAAAAAGAAGAGCAAGAGTGTCGCGGCTGACACTGCTACAGTTCCTCTAGAGGTGCAGGCAAAGCCTAAGAAAGGAAAGAAGAAGGGCGACACAGATGCAGAGGCCGTGCTCGAGCTAGAGGTCGCGGCAGAGGCGCCAACAAAGAGCAAAAAGTCAAAGAAGGATAAAGCATCAGCCAAAAGCGATAATGCTCCAGTGAAAAAAGACAAGAAAATCACAGATAATATCGAGACAGCAGCGTTCACCGCAACAAAAGACAGGAAATCGAAGGTAGGGAAGAAATTCAAGGCTGTGACGAAGGAACCTACTCCAGAACTCGACGTCGATATAGGTAGCAAAGAAGAAGATGACGAAGATTACGACCAGACTGCCACTCTTCTTGCTGGTTTCGAGAGCGACAAAGACGATGATGATCCCGCCGAAGACGTGGGCTTCAACTCGAAGATGAAGCCTTACATTGGCAAGGATGTGAAGAATGAGCTAGTCAAAGCCTCCAAGAATGAAGATAAACCAGGAGTTGTTTTCGTAGGGTACGTAGATCTACCCGCGGTTGTATAGGTTATACTAACAAGGACTACAGCCGTATCCCGCACGGTTTCTTCGAGCCTCAGATGAAGAAATACTTCTCCCAGTTCGGCACTGTCACCCGACTTCGGCTTTCCCGTAACAAGAAGACCGGCGCCTCAAAACACTATGCCTTTATTGAGTTTGCGTCTGAGGAGGTCGCTGACATAGTTGCTAGAACGATGGACAAATATCTTCTATTCGGACATATCCTCCAGTGTAGCGTCATTCCTGCTGAACAAGTCCATGAAAATCTCTTTGAGGGTTCCAATTATCGTTTCAAGACCATGCCTCGTAATCAGATTGCCGGCAGAGAGATGGCACGGGGTGTCGAACGAGAGGTGTGGCAGAAGAGGATCAAGAACGAGGATAAGAGGAGGGAGGCAAAGAAAAAAAAGCTGAAAGCTGACTTCGGCTATGAGTATGCTGCACCAGCACTGAAGACTGTCGATGATGTGCCCAAGAAATGCACCACTCTAGAAAATGGGGGGCCTAAGCAATTGCAGATCGAAGCTTTACTAACAAACGAAGAGCACAACAACGATACATCCCTGGCCTTGGATTCTAAGGTTGGCCAGCCTGTCGAGACTGTCAAGACAAAGAAGTCAAAGAAAAGTGAAAAAGCGAAGATCGAGACTACCAGAGAACCAGCAGCGGTTATTAAGCAAAAGCCCCTAACGGGGAAGAAATCGAAGAACAAGAATTCTAAGGTAGATACGGCTGCAGATGTGAAGCCAGAAGCCCTCGTTGAACCTCCCGTCGCCGACAAGAAACGGAAGGCTAAATCTACCGAGCAAGATGTCCCTGTAGGAAAGAAATCGAAAAAGACAAAGGCCTCTAAAGCATAAGCGCCCTATGGGAATTGATGAATCAAGTGAGGGTCTTAGCAGTAAACTATCTCAGTGTATCTGACTATGCGAGCTTTAAGACGGTCTTACGTCATCATAATTTTATGTATGAGCCGGATTGATTTGTGAGGGCTGTAGCTAAAGAAAACGGGCGCTTATTTTGGTAGTTATGAATGGACTCTTAAAAACGTTCTAGTAGATATAACTATTTACCTAGTAGTATCTAGACGTTATGGTGAGCATGCGAAATCAATAATCAATCTTCATGACAATGTCAGCTTTACATCCTAAAGCGACAAAAAGCTATGGGAACCTTTCTAAGTCATCTATGTACCTCAAAATAATTCAACTTGTTACGCAATAGATTGTGTCGAAAACATGAATTTATACATTTTGCATTCGATTATTGTTACAAGGAGAAGCTCCGAGATGATAACAAAGTACCAGGGCTATTCATATCTCCGCCATAATCACCGCCGACTGACTGAACCGATCTATGCCGCCGACATGGAAAGCTCCCCAAACCCCACTTGTTCGTATTACAAAGGAAATTTAGTCGAAGGGGTTGGTGCGGGTTCCCCAGTAGGTGAGGAACAGCGAAAGACCTACGGTCTCGAAGACGCGGGCGAGCGCGCCGATGGCAATGGTGTCGAGGGGACGCTTCTCTGTAAGGACCTGCGAGATAATCTTGAAGACATTAGCATTTCGTTCAGACTACATAGGTTTCATGTAGATTAGTGTAAGGACGCACCGAAGGCGCAGAGCTGGCGAGGAATATCAAGCTACCAAGGTACGCAGCACCCTTGTAGGTCAAAGTTCCAGTAGCGTTGATCAAAGCACCGACACCATATGCCTGCAGCCCAGAGCCAATGATGGAGCTTCCCCACGACGCGGCAGCGGTGGCGGCCTCCTTTGAGTGAAAGTATTCTTCCTTGGAGTTGGCTTGCTGGGCGCGGCGGTATGCGTCACCAAAGACGGGCCCGAGGACGGCGAGGGAGACTGCATGGTTGAAGGCCGTGCCGAGGGCGATGGCAGAGGGCTTAACAGGAGGGAGGTCTATGGATGGCGTGTTAGTCTAGTTTGGATGTAATTGATGTGACTCGAGGTACTGCATGCTTGAATGCAGGAATCCAATTCATCCTCGAAGATAATGGATTCGAAGCTTCTTTGTTTGCTACTAGAGTGGACGACTTACAGTGAAGAGTGGCCATTATAAACAAATGTGAAGGCTTTGGAGAGATGGTAGGCGCTTGAGTATCGGTTGCGGGCTATTGTGTGTGGTGGATGCGTTAGGAAACAAGGGATGTCGAAGCTTTTGTACCGGCAACGGCATGCTAAATTTGAGACGATGATGCCTTTCACCTGACCTGTTTGTGACGTAATTGCTTCGTAGCTCCGCAACTACCAAGTGTGCCTCCAATCACGGAAGTGTGGTAGACAATCCTACGATCAGTGCGCCACTAGAACGAGAATGGGAGACCCGGTCTGCCTTGGACTCTGCGTATCTACAGTTTGCCATGATGGAAGGTCATAATTCCATCTGAAGTGCTGAGATCCCGATGCACAGAATGTGAGGCACGTCATTGTTGTTGCATCGCACCAGAGCGACCCGTTGGCCCAAGCTTCTCCTGCCCTTAATGGCCTCGGCTAAATATCTTGTTTTCATTTGCGGTTAGAGTAACGCGGGTTGCAATGGGGTATCTTGGATTCGTGTTCACTATCGTAGTGTTTCTGCAACCTTCTCTACCCTCAGTCTGGGATGCTGCATGTACACCAGACCCGCGCCTCGTTCGGATGAGCTTTATCCAGGCTGAGCTCCTGATTCGTTCCCTCAACCTATCGCAGCGCGTCCAGGCCAATCACCAGCATGCTTGTCGCTAGGAAGGCCTTAGGCTTGTTTATCCTCATAGCGGCCTTCACGACGTTCATAACTTTTATGAGATCGGTGCCCAGTCCTCTGAACTGGTTACTTGTCCCTGAGCCCGAGGTTGTGCCGTACATCTCTCATGTTGTCCTCTTCCAGTTTAAGAAGGGTACCACGCCAATGGCAGTCAAAGAGGCTAGTATTGCGTTATGAATCAGAGGCGAATGAGGTTCTAAACTATCATTAGATCACATCTAAGATGCTAGGTTTAAGGAAGGCATGTATACATCCAAGTACTCGTGCGCCGTATATTCAATCGATTACTGGCGGAAAAGATATATCGATTGAAGATCTACAAGTATGTCTCACCTAGAGAGTTAGCCATCCGGTTATACTTTACTAACTTTGCATATCAAAGAATGGCATGACGCACGCTTTCATTCTACGGTTTTACTCTAAGGAAGATCGGAATTACTATGTTGAGTTCGATCCTGTGCATCAGAAGTTCAAAGAGGCTGCAACAGCTGTGGTAGAGAAGGTTCAGGTTGTGGATTTCCAGGAAGGCATCTTCTATTAAATACTTAGAGGTTATTAAACGTTCTTATCTCGGGGCTTGTGCCGTCTCTAGGGAATTATGGCAAACTCAAGAATGGACAAGACATATCCGGAAGATCCCAGGGGAAGAAGGGACGGCCTTGACCTTGTCAATGATACAGTGTAAATATAGATGATCCAGGCTTCTTTCAAATAATAAGAGCCCATCGGGCTGTTTACTAGCTTAAGGACTTCATGTTAATGCCGTTTCATTATACCTATCAACCTATAGCTTCAATAATTGCCTGGAAATTAGAGGCGTATCAGCCAAAAACACCTAGGCAGCAAAGCCAGTTATGAGTGAGATAAAGCTGTCCAGGTATTTGCCCTTACGCTAAACGTCCTAAGGTCGACGGCAAATGGTCAATCACTACGTCCGCGCTAGAATTTGGAAATTCCCAAGATTTCGGCTAGACATTATTTTTCTTGGACAACTATTTAATTAACGTGTTTTATCACTCAGCGGCCCACCCAAAAACACCAAAAATCGCAAAAAAGGCCCCCTTCAATTTTAACAACGACTCGATGAAAAGTTTTAAAGTTTTACAACTGGCGTATAATATATTTTTAAAAAGATTTTTTTTTTTTTTTTTTATAATTTTTAGGCTCTGTGGTATACTACTTCACAGAATATTAAGAGAATGGTTAAAGAAGTAGCTGTTTGGGGGCTAAAAAAACGATATTTGAATATTTATTAGGCCTAGTCATCTGTAGGTCATATATATGTTTAGAGATGTATATAGTAAGCTATTTATTCATTCTTAAGACTTTTATTTAGCCGTTTTTGCGATTTTTGGTGTGTTTTTGGGTGGGCCGCTGAGTGATAAAACACGTTAAGTGATAGTATTTGTCTTACAATATGATACAGCGATTTTTGGGAGGCCGGGGATCCGTCCGTCCAAGTTATTCGTGTACAAGGCACCAATGGCTAGGGTTTGTCAGAGGTTCCACAGCTAGCCCCTAATTGGAAGTCCGGCACGCCGTCAACCAGGCCCATGTAATCATCCGAAACCCGTTGAAAACTTTTCGCTTTCCAACAGGAGAGTCCCTGAGGCGTCAAATTTTTTTGGCTATGATTATATGCTAGGCGCAAACAAATCACATCGAAGAAAGCGCATCCTCCATGGCGCAATTGGCTAGCGCGTCTGACTGTTATCATCTCGATAATGAGAGCAATCAGGAGGTTGGTGGTTCGAGCCCACCTGGGGGAGCTAATAACGATTCTTTTGCATCTATAGACACCCAAACCGATTTTTGGGTCCTACCTTTGGTCTGCACAGGCCCCAGGGTCGACAACTAGTTTGCTTTTGCCTTTTTTCTCGGCCTTACTCGGCACCCGCTCGCTCTTCACTCAGGGTTGTACTATGGTGGGTATAGGGTTGTGAGAATCTTCCTTCATGGCGCTAGCTGCCTTGTCGTTTCCTTTCAGTGTGCCTAGAACAACTATCTCGGTTCTTTACTACCATCAATATATATGATTATATTTATCTTGATTGATGAAGTAGACGTGCCAATGCAGAAGCACGATTTTCGACTGTCCAAACCACAATATTTTGATCCGACACTGAAATTTCACCAGTAGTTCAAGAAAAATATGAAGATTCAAGTAGGACATTCCCCGACAAAAGTAAACGATTATCCGCTTAAATGATCATAAGTCATTTATTGATACTACCAAAGCATGTAGATTGTAGGGAGCCGACCTATCCCTTTTACGCAGGCCTCGGTTTCTCCAAATCCGTGGTCTAGAAGGATCATCTATTCATTAATTTGGCACAGATTCGAGCCTCTTGTAGATCTATCACCAAATTGCAAATTCATAGTCATTCTCATTCTCTGATTTAATAGGTGTTTCTTTATATTTCGCAAATCCCGAAGTTTGAGTCAACTTGGGGCATGCGAAATTGTGTGGGGCGCGTGAGATTGTCATTTATTTAAGGGAGTGAAGCAGCGAGAACGTATTAGGCAACGCCAGGGAAACATGTATAGCAATATTTATAGTAAAAGGGTCCCAGCTTTTGAGTCCTAGAGCTAGTAAAAAGACGGTAAGGGGTAAAATCGACATATATCCAGGGTCCCGTCCCATAAGACAGAAAGCAAACACATACGTATAAGTCTTACATAGTAGACCCAAGATAGCGTGCATGTAGGAAGATTCTGTAGCTTTGAATAGACGAATGCATTCATCGACATTGCGAAAAGCGCTATTAACCGTCTCTGGGCTTTTTGAAGGCCATGAAGCCAGAGGTTTTGACCGAAGCGCTCAAACTCCATAATAACATGAACATAATGGGGAATCCTGCACGAACATACCGAGAAAACGCACATCAACACATCACTCACCTCACCCAGAACACAGCTATCGATCAGGCTTTTGCCTAACCATCGACCTTGGCCGCGGTATCGGCGACCTCGCTGGCGGTCTTGGCAATCTCGGCGTCGTTCTCTGTAGTTGCGGCAGAGCCACTCTCGGTACTTGTCACGAGCTTCCTGACTACGTCGAGCGTAGAATCAGGACCTCCCGGCTCGGAAATAAGCACCTTCCCATTCTTATCAACGACAAATACACCGCGAGTTGTTCCCTTCGGTGCCTTCTTCAAGCCAATAGCTGAGATGAGTGTCTGCGAGGGGTCACAGAGTAGAGGGTATGGGAGGTTCTGCTTCGTTTTGAACGTGGTATTAGCCTTCGGGCTGTCGCTTGATAGACCGTAGATGCTCAATCCAGTAGAAGTCAGAGGTTCGTAATTATCACGGAAGAGACATGCTTGTTTGGTGCCTGTAGGGGACAGGTCAGCTCACTGTCTACTCCGGGGAAAAACGGACCTGCTCACATCCTGGGGTGGAGGCCTTTGGATAAGTGAACAAGACTACTCCATTCTTGCTGTCTCCAACGAGCTTCTCAAGGGTGGTCTTAGTGCCGTCGTTTGTCTCGATCTCACCACCAAATCCAGCGAGGGTGATGCTGTCGCCAACCTTGGGAGCGGTTGCGGGAGCGGGAGGGGCGGATGCCTCGCCATTGGCCTCGCCGGCCACTGCTTCTTTGACAGCTTCGACTTTCTCGGCTACTGCAGCTTTCGCCTTGCCAACCTTAGTCTTTTCGGCCTTCGGAGCGGCCTTCTTTTTAGCTGGGCGCACCGGCGCAGGAGGGGGGGTCTTGCGCTTCCTAAGCTCGACCATGGTGGATTGTGGGCGCGGAATGTGGTCGCGAAGCTGCAACAGATGGCGATCAGCGTCGCGAACTTGAATTAATGCGCTTGCGATGGAAAGGGGGGTAGAAATAGCCAACACGAAGCTGGGAGGTTGGGACTGAGGTCGGACGGAACTGGGTCGATGCACACAGTTGGCGCTTACTGACCTTGTCTTGGTAATCTGCAGTATCACCTTGATGGGACCGCTCAGGAACACAATGGCGGGCGCAGATAGGCTTGATGGGGACGAGGGTGGACTGCCGAACGAAATATCAGGTCACGGCGAGCTCTGCTAGGTGAAGGTCGAGGTCATCCAGCCTCCCTTGGCGGCTATCCCAATCGACATTAGGCAGATTGAATGTGCTTTTAGGGAACGGCTTTTGATTCAGCTGCCCCGAACCACATTGTGCCGGATGCGGTTGCTGATTGGCTTCTCGCCATCTTCCAGGGATCGAGGATGTGGTTTGGAACTGCCCACCCAATGCAGTGAGGCGTTTCGGTTGCATGCCCGAGATAGAAACCCTTCCCGCTAACACCACTTCTCAGCCTCCTCGCGACGCCAGTGATATAAGCTGTTGGACCCATTGCAGAAGCATGCTCAGTGATCATCGTCGCAAGTACCGCTTTCGACCTCTATTTATCGCAATATATTATACCGTTCAAGAATTATAGCTTGCGACCCCCCGCTCTAGACCAGGCGACCCGTTTATGCCATGCAACGCCGTCCAGACCTTCCTTTTCGCGCAGCGCATCCTCAGCCGTTGGCATCGGCCGATTTCGATGGCGCATAATCTCCGAGTCACGTGTTAATTGGCCGGACTCGGGCTATATAAGCACTCACCGCAAGGTTTTGCTCCTCTCAGCGTGTCCTAAACCTCCTCATGCTGAACGCTAGAATACTACACACTAAGCAAACTTTTGATCTTCTATGGCGTAAAATAGTAGTTATCTGTGCCTAAGGCAACAAGCTACGGTCTGCGTTATCGCATGGCTAATGGGATATCTTTCCGCTGGCAGTCGCCGGTTGGTACCAGTCTCCCACAGCTTGAGACCATGGTGCTTGTTACCACAACGAAGGGGTCAAGATATGGTCGCATGGCCAGTGAATGACTCCGTTGCCGCATTTTGTGCATTTAATTTTTCATCACCAGACGCTCATTGGCCAATAAATTTCAGTGACACCTTGTGTCATAAACAGCCAGCTTCAACTTTGGTGCGATCGTTATGATTTAGGTTTAACCCTCCACTGAATCTTGGGGAGACCCACTGACTGATTGGCACCACAAATCAAATATCCAACGAGCGTTTGCTATTTCTACGGGGCGGCGGAGCAACGTTTTATTTGTTCTCCTTGCACTTCAGATCTCCCTCCGTTTCCCTTTACCTTCCCGTCAACAGTTCCGCATCTTTGTACAGAACACAGTTCGATCTTCCTAAGACCATCTACAAGAGGTTTCAAATATTCTTCGGGACCTTGTTGGCTTCGATCCATCGTCAATGTTTTACAACCGCAAAAGTTGATTTCCATTCTAATTAGAAAATCATTCCCTTAAAGTCCAGTGGGTATTAAAGCCAGTCAAGAGGTAGAGGAAAATACAAAGGTATCCACAAGGATGTATCAATATCTTATTCCCCTCCCATATGGAGATTCGAGACCGTCCTTTAATGATGAAGCTTCTCCCATCATAGCCCCTAAACTAGCACTGTGTTTAGAAAGGGGCAAGCAAGATGTGGCAGTATCTGCCATCAATACAAACGACAAAGTCAGAGGTCCAATAAGAAGGGATTGGTTGGTAGGATGCCGTACCCTTCGAACATTACTAACACGGTCAAGGTCGTTGATGCACAAGACACTCGACCGAACGATATATTCGGTAATAAAGAAGAGGCTACGATTCAATATAAGACTATGCACTAGTGGAAAGATACCAATCTATTCTTACCGCTCGTACCGACTCACCCTAACAAAATAATACCTCGCAGGCACACAGGAGTTCGTACGTGAACCGTCCACAATGCTTTCCAATTGTCTACTGACGTTCTCGATCATAGTCCTCGTAGCTGAGAATATGTCTCTTGGTGTGCTCGCATTACCACAAGCAGTTGCCGTTATGAGGCTCATTCCAGGGCTTCTCATTATTTTGATACTCAGTATCCTTGCAGGCTACACCGGATGTTATAGGGCAATTCAAGCTAGCGTATCTTCAAGTGGCATCTTTTGCGGATGCGAGAGGGATCATCGGAGGCACATTTGGCAGCCGCCTCGTGGCGGTGTCGCAATGCCTTTTGCTTATCTTTATCATGGTTGCCCACATTCTTAGCTTCTCTATTGCACTGAACGTCATAATCGATCACAGCCAGTGCACTGTCATCTTCATGATCCTCGGTTCAATCGTTTGCTTCATATTAGGGTTACCGAGGACTCTAAAAGGAGTTTCCTTCCTGTCGATTTTTTGTAGGTCTAAGCCCAGCCCTCAGAGAGTAATTGCTGACAGGATTAGCGTGTATTTCTATCATTACAGCAGTGACGGTTATCACGGTTGCCCTCGGGATTTCAAACCCAGATGCAGGGGATATCAAAATTGTCCAAGCCCATTTGTCTACCACTACCTACCTGAATCCCGTCATGAACATAATTCTGGCATTCTGTATGTCCTATTTTGCCATCCTTAGTATGATCTATGAAGCCACTGACGCGAAGCAGCCGGTCATGTAGCATTTTTTGGTCTCATTTCTAAGATGAAGCAGCCCCGGGACTTTCCTAAATTACTTGTCGCCATGCAGACGCTTGCTGTCACTTTCTACACCATCATCGCAGCAGTCATCTGCTACTTCGCTGACTCTCTTATTTCTTCGCCCGCTCTAGACTCTGCAAGTCCGCTGGTGCGCAAGATCGGCTTCGGTATCGCGCTACCAACTATGGTCATAGCAGGAGTCATCTACGGAAGCGTCGTCTCTAAGTTCATTTACCTCCGTTTATGGAAGGGTACAAATGTAGTCCATGAGAAAACAGTCAAAAGTGT